GGGGGGGGCCGGGGGCGAGAGGGGCCGCCGCCCGGCCCCAGCCACAACCAGCACGTGGCCTCAAGAAGCGCGAGCAAGGCTGTGAGGGAATCCCTGAGCCACAGTGGCCTCGGGGCATCCTGCCTCTGTGTCCCCGTTGCCCCCCTGTACACCAGCACCATCTGGGACAGGCGGCCTCCAAGTGATGGATCTCAGGCGTGGTCCTAGGTCCTCACTCAGCAATGCTCCCTGTGGCTGGAGGTCTGCAAGGCAGAGTCTCATGGCCACTACCACTGGCACCACTGGCCCGAAAAAAGGCCGGGACAAGGGCTGCTGCTGTTACTCCCAGCTAGGCAGGACGCCCCCCACAGGGCGGAACATGTCACCTCATACCAGCAGGTGCCCAGCCCGACTCCCTGAGCTTGTCACAGTGACTCCAGGGGACTCCCCCCGCCCCACAGCTCAGGCATCCCCACTTAACGGGGCACTTGCCACCTGCCCGCCCTCTGCCTCTGTAGACCCCGTGCCCGTGTTTGAGGCGGCGCGCAGCTTGGACGACAGACTGCAGCCCCCCGTCTTCGACCCCAGTGGGCAGCTCCGGCGAGACCTCCACGCTTCTTGGAAGAGGCACCCCGAGCTCCTCAGCCCTAAAGGTACTGATGAGGCCTTCGTGGGGTTCTTGGGCAGTGGGTCTTCACCGGCCACACTGGGCCACACGGGTGGGTGGGGCGGGCAAGCAGGGACCCAGGCTTTAGCATTTTAGGTGTGGGATGGGCTAAGGGAACACTTGCTGAAACAGGCGAACTCCGTATCTAAGGGCTTAATCAACTGAAGAGTGAGGAGGTTGCAGAGGTGGCACCACGTGTGGCATGTGACATTCAGAGCCTCAGCGAGCACTGATGCCACGCCAGCAGAGGAGAGTGGAGGCCACACTAAGTGTGCGGGGCGTGAGCCTGGGCAGGGCGTGCATCGCTCCACCCACTACCCCGTGGCCAGCACTCGGGCCTGTGCCACACCTTGCTGCAAAGGGGCTGTGGGGGGAGAGGAACATGAGCTGGAGGACACACGACAAGGTGGCAACCTCAGAGGTAGGAAGGGAGGAGTCAGAGCACCTGAGACACACTGGCCCTCTAGCTGGGTGACAGAGAGCCAGGCCCCACATGACCAATTGCATGGTTCAAATCCCTGCCCCAGAGGCTCGGAAAACATGCAGGCTCACATGCATGTGTGTCCCAAATCCCAGCAGGGTGTAGGAATAGAGAAGAATGGATTGCAGCATGACCACACACCACTGAGGGTGCTTTTTCCCTTCCCCCCCATCCTTTTTCTGGGAAGCGCTGTGCCCACTGACAATTAAAAAAATAAATAAAACTTAAGTTAAAGATAGACTTACCATATGACCCATTCACCCCAGATACACTAACCGTCCTTCCCAGTAGTTAGATTGATGAGTACTCCTAGGCGTATACCCCACAGGTGCTCAGACACAAATGCACACACGAATATCGTCATCAGATGAACGGGTAAACAAAGTGTGGCTCGTCCATGTGAGGGAATGTTCTAGGCCAACCAAGGGAGCGAAGCCTGTGGCCGGACCTTGCAGGTGTGATGCTGAGCGAGAGAAGCTGACAAAGGCCATGTCACTCACGCACGATTCTGTTCACATCACGTGTCCCTAAGGGGCAGATCTGCGACACGGAAAGTGGACTGCTGGTTCTCAGGGTGGAGGGAGGGGAGGTGGAGAGCGGTTTAACGGGAGCAGGCTTTCCTCCTGGGGTGACCAGTGTCCTGAAGTCAGCTGCCGTGGCTACGCAGTATCGCAGATACACCCAGCATCACGTTAAGACGCTCACAAGGGTGAATTCTGTGTTATGTGTATTTTGCCACAATTTAAAAGTAATAATAGGGCCAGCACGTGGCGTGGAGGTTAAGGCACCGGATCTCACATGGCCAACCGTGCAGTTTGGGTCCCAGATCCTGTGGCTTGAAGATCAACCAGGCACATAGGCACACGTGCCCAAAATCCTGAGGGGAAACTAGAGGGACAGGGGTTGCGGGATGGCCGTCTCCCCAGGGTGAAGGGGTAAGCTCTTTCTCTCTCTATCTCTCTCTCTCTCTGGCAAGCACATGTGCCCTATAGCAAAAACTAAAAAAAAAAAAAAAAAAAAAAGATTAAATTTTAAAAATAATAGTAAAGAGCCAAGGAGCCCTGCGTGGGGATGGAAGCCCCAGCGTGCTGTCACGCAGCACCCCGGGAGGTCAACCCACATGCGCACACGGAGCCAGCGCCCCAGCGGCTGCGCGCTCTCCAGGGCCAAGTCTGAGAAACCGGTCTCGGTGACTGAGCTGAAGGCTGATCCGGTTGCATGAAGTTGCTCCCGCAGCGAGGGCTGTGTTTCCCTCTTCTTCTCCCTGCAGAACAGAGAGAGGGGACGTCTCCGGCCGGGCCCACGCTGACTGAGGGGAGCTGCCTCG